CATTTTTATACACTTCTAACACATTTTCTCAAGTGTTGGAAATAGTAACAAAGAATTTAAAGCGGGGACAAGCAGGATGACACCTGCCTGCTCTGACAGATCTAGATGCAAGATTCTACAAAGTCATTTCCCCTTTTTGTCCTATTACCCAGGCCTAAGGACCTATTCTCCAATGTCCTCCACAGGTATCTCTTCCCAAAGGCACGCTGCCTACATTCGATAGGGTCACTTCAAAGCAGACAGCAGAAATCGGCCCCAAAATAAAGTTTCTTGTAAACCACCCTTGGAAGGCCAGGATTCCCAATGGGCAGCCCTGCCTGCCTCGAGCTACGGTTGTTTGGCAAGGCCTGTGACAACACCCAACGGCTCTCCGTGTGTCTTTGCCCACTCGCTGTCCCTTTGCTGGACACCTGCTGGACAAGGGAGCCTTGCCTGCCACAGCCCGTGGTGTTTTCCTTCCGATTCCAGAACCGGTACTTGCTGGCTTAGCTCTCTTCCTACATGGAGATCCTTGCTTGCAGTGATGCCGTGGAAAACCTTTCCCATACCCAAATTCTGTGTGGCAGAGCTCTGAGAGCCTGGCAACACCATCTGGAATTCAGTGTGCTTCCTGAGCCCGTATCATTTAACGCAGCCATCGCGCTGGCTTCTGCTGAACTCAGTGTAATAACCCACTGGTGCTCCGCAGCCCATTCTCATTCATACGATATAAGGGAAAGCCATTAGCTTCTCCGCTCCATCCTACACGGCTTCTGGAAAGCCATAATGAACTGCTGCAGCACTGACATGGGTTGAGCCAGACCAAGAGCCTTTTGACATGCTGTTAATTGCGAGCCTGACCCTCTGATTTCCTATTTTAATTTCCTCCCACTCTGCATGCCCTGGAAGGCAGCTAGTCGGGACTTAGAGGAGACAGATCTTAGAGCACTCTGGAAGCCCAGTCTACATTTAATAGGAAATCTTGCTGTGGTGTAAGAGAGACCTCTCCAAAAAACTGCCTATCTGTTAAAAATGCAACATCTTGTTTCTGTGAACAATTAATTTGTGTTTAAGGAGGCAGGTCCCACATGTCTCTGGTAATCCAGCTCTCATCCACAAATCTTCCTGTTACCTTACAACTAAAAAAGTTTTTTTAAAAATTATATGGTTTAGATGTAATAATAGGTTTTTAAGAATCAAAAATCAGAAGCCTCGAATTATTGATAAAATTGTAAAAAAACCCCGACTTTCTCTTGAAAAATTCACTGAGAATATTGATGGGGGAAACAATAGTTCTTCCACCAGCTCTTTTCCATAGGACGGCGTAATAATACCCATTAGCAACCTTGGGCTGAGATCACAGCTCCCACCCTCCTCCATTTTAATCAAAGACTGATTAGAAAATGAGCACATATACCCCCCAAACAATGTTGTTCTTCACAGACATTAAAAAAATGAAGTAGCTGAAGATACAAGTTTCCTAATCCCGTAACGTAACAACTGAAGGGATGCCCACACAATGGTTTCCTTCCCAGAGATGACAGGCAACTCTCCCAGCGAAGAGAGGCTGCCATGTGAGATGGGCTGGCTGGGTGTCAGTGGCATCCTGCCCTGAGGATCCCGTCTCCCGCAGCTGGAAGCAGGACAAGAAAGTCACAGTCTCAGCTAATGAGTCAGATATCCTGGGGAATGCCTCTGAAGCCTTCAGGTCATCATTCAAGACCAAAAGGTTAGTGCTAGTTTTAAATACAGAAAGAAACTTCTCGTTGAGCAGAAGCTCCTCCTCACAGACGTGTCCCCACATGAGCACCGGAGAGGAGTAACTGGCTAGTAATTAGTTCTTGACCAGTGTAAGGAAGCTAAGTATTTTGGTTAAGATTAGTTCAAGAAAAGCCTCTGGGTGCTGCTGCTGCTTTCATGGAATCTCCTCTGACCTGCAGTGAGGGTACCCTAACGCTACCAGGGAACGTGAGTGAAAATAGATATTGTGGCATTTTCATTCATTTTAGTATTATCCAATGGAAAGAAAAGAATGTGAATATTTTAGAGAGGCAACACCTGGCTTCATGTTTTCATTCCAGAATAACACAGAAACATAATTTCTTACTGGCACAGAAAAATGTCATGAAAACCCTATCTTTAATTACTATTTAAAAAAATATTTTTCCTTTATCCAAAATGGAATTTTGAGATAAACAGTAAGGAAAAAGGTCCGGATAACAGTCATCATCTATTTCAAAGGCATTCACCTGAAGTTATTTCTCAGGTAAGACATTTATTTGAGCTTTAGCTATGAGGTTAGATATTTCCTCCATCTGAACTTCCCAAAATCTCACTTGCAGTGCCAGTGTCATCACTGTCTCATTGTGTCCTGTCTCCCCGCCCTGCCCCAACTTATTTCCCTTAGAACACTCTAACCAGACACCTCATGGGAGATCTGGTGGAGCGCAATATTCTACAGTCAGCTCTCTGGAAGTTGTTATGTCAGGTAGTTGTATAGAAGCAGTTGTTTTGCCACCTGAAGCTGATGACAGGAAAGAAGGAAAACACATCAGTTCCTGCTGTGACACCGAACTGGATGAAATATCGAAGTTGTGAAGCATCAGGAAGAGCCCACAACTGGTACCATACAGTGAGTGTCCGTGGTCTTACCAACATCACCTGGTTTCCTTCCACATTTAAAAGATGGAAAAATCTACCAGTAAAATGCTCATGAAAAAAAAAGTCAGTTTAGAGCTACAAAGCATCTTTTTCACTATCTTTTGTAGATTATTGTAAATTGTTTTCACAATAAATATTTTCATAGTTCACTCTGTGACAGCAGCTGAATTATAAAGACTCGCTAAAATGAACAGCAATAAATTAAACCCAAGTAAAATAACAATTTTAATTCAATATATTACTTGCATCAGTATAACTATTATATTTATCATTCACGTTTACATTTGTTTCTGCTCTGATACTGGCAGGAACTGAAAATACATGTTAGCAGCAAGCCACGCTGAAATGTCAAGCAGCTTTTGAATCCAAACAAGCATAATCCTTCACGAAACACATACAATGGTTAAATTGACTCAACTATCCTTCACCTACATGCAGTGAGTCACCATATCAAATATTAAGAAACCCCTTTTATGTCCGAAGTTCCTGCCATGTCCGTGCAGGGCAGCTGCCCGCTGCAGGAGCCCAGGCCTCCCTGCAGGATTTGTGATCCGCTCCACAAGAGGGCAACCGAATCCCACTATAAATGGGGAAATAGTCCTCTAGAACTGAAAAGTGACCATTCCTGTCAGCTAAAAGTCCAAATACCCCTCCATCCTAGACTGGCTGGGAAAAAGCCAGCCATGCACTTATCTCTGCCGGGAGGGAGAGACCCAACCTCCACCTCTTCCCTCGTAAACAGTGGTGACAAGGAATGGGTATGCATGTGGAAAAAGGGACGGTTAATTTTCCTTTTTATGGGATTTTAGTACCTTCAGACACAACAAATCTCCTATAACCTTGGGCATCGGCTAAAGCACTTCCCTCTGCTGCCAATAAAGCCACCACAGGCTGGGACATAGGCATTGGGAAGTGGCCACGACACGAGCAATTACGTCATGTCACAGGTAGGGATGAATTACAAGGAAAACCCTGTGACAGATCAGGTCAGTGTAACCATCCCGTGGCACGAGTCTTGCCGTCTGTGAGCAGTTCCTGTGTGACTGCCCATGCTCAGGCTGCACTGCCACAACACTGGATATTTGGAAAACACTACTCCACTCACTGTTCGAGAGCAGCACCAAAGATGCTTCCCATGAAGGGAACATCAGTTTGATCTTGCCACGTGACATGAGGAACGTACGCTGGCTCTGCTGCCTGCTCCTCTCACTGCGCTGCTCAGCTGTTTCCTCTGGAGTGCCAAGCAGGTCTGCCCCCACTCTGGCCACATTTTTCACACCACCTTCTTCTAAGATCAACCACCCCAGGCAAAATGCAGAGCTCTTAACGCTTCCCAAATTCTGAACTGAGAGGAGGCAACCTGCCTATTGGCACCCTTATGAAGCACCGCTATTACCATCCTCTGTACCCAATCAGAACCCAGTGCTGTGGAAGCTTTTGTACTTGTGAACAGCTGAAGTAGCTACACTCTGAAGAATCCACTTAATTTCAAATCCAAAATGCACACTGATGCAGCCTACACTTATATTTGTCACACACAATAGTGTCTTTTGGGCTCTATTGGTAAGGTTCAATAAACCCATTCTCTTCTTAGGTTCTCACTTGATGGCCTATTGTTTAACTCAACTACGGCAACGCATTAAGAATATCTGCAACAATACACAGTACTGTCTTCTCTGTAAAAGTACTTTAATATGCGACATTCATGAAACTACCTGAAAAATATCTCTCCAAGGTAGCAGACTCTACTGTTCATACGAACAAGACAAGCTGGAAACCAACACATTTTGTGCACTAGCAGTAAGCTACAGCAGTACAACTTAGTGGGAATATTGCCCCTGTTTATGTCATCATCAAATCTAAAGAGATGATAAATTTGCTAGCACTATGCAAGACAGTTAAGCTCTACAAGCCTTCAGTATAGAGCTCATTACAGACCTGCTGCTAATGGGATGCCAACCCTTGCTGCCATCGCCGTAACACAAACAATTCTCTACCTCTCAGGCAAAGCCTGGCAAGCACAGTGGATCTGAAGGGATGTGGCTAATATTTAATTTAAAGCGTAGTTCAAAACAAAACAACAAAAAAATTAACAAACCTCCAAAACCTGAAAACTTCCACTGAACAGGCTTGATGAGATTATGTCTAAATTGGCAAACCAGAATTTTCCAATAAGCAAACCTTCATTTCTTGCTCTTTCCCACTTCCTCTGAAATGTTCCAGAAATTAAAACCCACTTTTTTGGTTAGTTAAAAAATTACTGTGATCTGTAGTGCTTTTTAATTTCTCCTTTGGCTGTTCCAGTTCTGAATGCACTCTGTTGACATGACTAGAGAGAAGCAGAGCAGCAAAGTACTTACTGTTCTGGACTAGAAACTGAAGTCCTTCGTCCTTCAACGGCAATATTGCTCTTGGGTCTCTTAACAACATGAGGTCTTGGTGGACGAACCTATTGCACACACACATAGAAGACATCTCATCAAATACTTCAAGTAGATCCAACAAACAGCCATAAACTACAAATAGGTATAACCACCATAAACAATATCTTCCATTCAGAATTGCTCTTAAACTTTGGCATTTTTTGTGCCACGACAATGTTACAAATGAATATGAACTCTAAATATAAACTACAGGAACCTACGATTTGTTTAAGAACAAAAAAAACCCCACATGTTTTTGAATAGCAGATGAAACACAATTTCAAGCAAGGGAAATTTGTTCCACTGTCCTGTTTGGTGCAGGCTAATTTTCTGATAAAGGATTCCCTAAATGGGGCTTCCCCTGCGTGTCGCTGTACATTATGTTGGAAAGTGGAATTCAGATTTGACATTGTGATCCTTTTGTCCACTCGTTCACATGAACCCAACTTCACAAGTGCAGACTTCTGTGTAAGGGAGCACTGAAAAATTTGTGCCTAGAATAAATGTTAGAGCATGAAAAACATAGCTCGTTCTTCATTGAAGATTTGCTTCCTTTCAGCAGCTGAACAGAAACCCCTGCACACCATATTATCATTATCACCCTGAATGTTATGTGTATGTTTTGTTGTCTGTAATAAAATCCAGAGTTTTCCTGTGGAAGATGATGTTGCTGCCAACCCAATCTTAAGTAACATACCCACCACCTTCTGAAGTTCGGAAATCAAGCTTAATTTACTTGCATTAGCTCCACAAGCAAACAGGATTTACTTGGAGGAATGAGCACACGTGGTACTATGCAGGGAAAGTTTGTGCACGTGCCCACAGCAGCAAGTAGTCCTGCTGCTGAACTTACCCCTCTGAGCCAGAGGTGGGAGCGAACACTTGCAGGATCAGGGGCAGGCTGTACAAACAAGATCCAGTTTCCGTTATGAAAGTACTACCTTACCTGAATCGGAGTCTGCTGTGTCGGCTTAGCTGAGTGCTAGTTTCAGCAGAAACCCCCACAGCCCTCACAGAGCCAGGAACACAACTCAACTGCTGACCTCCCCAAGCTCCAGCTCCCTTAGCGGCCACGGCCCACGGGAAGCTGCTGGATGCCCACAACCTAAGCGCTCTTCGGATGACTAACGAATTTGTTTGCAGTGACAGAACAGATGCAGATTTACCCCTACCTCTACAAGTGTTCTTTTGGGGTTCTTTTTAAAATTGTTATTTGTTGGGGGATGGGGTCTTCCTGGGCTCTCTTTTTTTTTCTCTAAGGCTCAAAAACCTTAAATTTTCTTGCCAGGAAAACGCCACCGAATTGTGTGTAGTTTCTGCACTACACAAGGGTATGCAGAAGATAGTAGGAGGATTATTATATTGAATTTTCATTTCAAAGGAAATGGTGTATAGCAGATCTGATGAAGAAATTCAGAGATGTACTGCCACTATTTCTTAGGAAAAAGGGCTTATAAAAAGGTCAGATGTTAAGGTCTTGAAGATCAGTCCCCACACAAGGCTGCTCCTCTCCACAATAAAGACGGCTTAAGAATGTGAATTTATGGCAGGAATGGAAGGATTAAGTTTGTGGTAACTTCAACTGAACTTGCAACGTGGTGAAACATGGGGAAAAGAACAACAGAGCTAATTAGACGAGCTGAGCTGTCAGAGTGCGGCTGAATGGCTCGGTGCCAACAAACAAAAGGAATGGGCTGGCAATCAGCAGGATCGATGAAGAATACTGCTTCATTAGGGTTGATAAAACAGAGAGAGAGAGCAAGGGAGAGCGAGTGCGTGCAAGAGAGGGGGGAGAGAAGCAAGAGGAATTGGGGGGAGAGCGAGAAGGAGAAAGAGAAAAAGAGAGGAAGAAAGAAACCTGTTTAATTAAATCTGAGCTGGAAGATGATGTGTAAAGCTGGCTTGTCATCATGCTGTGAACACTTTCACCTTTTGGGTGGTACCCTGGGGGAGTGATGGTGATGAGGGAGAGAGATGAGAGTTTGGGATGGCTCCGGGGGGCCACCAGACCAGCAAAGTGCAGGGTGACATGCTAAGTAGGATTTAGAGCATTGTTCATGGGGGACTGCAGGGGAAAGCCAGAAATCAAGCCAATTCCTTGCTGGATTTTGAGCCTTGTGTAGCCAAATAGGCAAGGTTAAATACTTATCAAATGCAAAAATATGAAAGAAATCCAATTATGTGAGCACAGAGTGAAAAGAATAAAGGTAAACATCCAGTACAGAAGGATTAAATGTGCTTATTACTGTCCCCATCAACTTTATGCATAATTAACACATTTTAACTTTTTCCTAATTGAATGAAGTTTCCAAACAGCCACTATCAATCCACACAGATCTCTATTACTTATAAGCAACAACCGTCTCGCTTTCATGATACCACCACAACCCATTTCCAAAACAGCAGAACGTACAGCACATTTCTGTTCTGCTTCCTTAACCTTCCCTTGGTCTGTGTTTTTGTCTTTATTGGTAGTAATGGCTCATATTGCAAGGACTAGTGCCCACGGCTTCCCCCTCCTAACAGGTATGTCCTGGAAGCAGTATGTATTTCCCAGGAATGCTGGTATTACATGGACTTGGTTGGAAGAGCAGAGGGACCTGGTCTCCTCCTTCAGTGCCTGCTGTAAAAGGCGAGGATAAATTACTTGCCAATACTCACTTCTGTAATATATGCCAAGACTAAGGAAGGGGGGGAAAAGCAGCCTGCACAAAGAATTATTTACACACATAAAAATGTGTTTCAACTATTAAAAGCCAAATAACAGTTCTGAACAACAACAAATTTATGTATATTTGGTAGAAGCATATTTTTGGGAGTGATTATAATAATTTACATTTATCTTGAATTTCCTCTTGATGAATGAAGCATTTCTGTTCCATTTATTGACACAGCTAGATGAGTGCAACAGGAGCTCTTATTATTACATTTCCAACCTTTTATCCATCACATTGGGAGCAAAGACAGTTGACACAAGCACATTACAGCGAGGACTATTAATGCACTACAGCTGGGAGATTAAACAGCCGTAGCAAGACTTTAATGTAATGAATTACTCAATCTGAGCAACGCTGTTCAGCGACTTCGGTAGAGAGGAACCGCAGTGTGCTCTCATACACCTGCCAAACACCAAACACGAGGGCTATGCGGCACCACGGGAACCCCATAACCTTTCCAAAGCCCTGGAAAGTTTGTTCCGAGTGTAACATATCTGGGAACGTAGTAATTACATTTAAAAGAACACATATCAACATAGTCAATGCTGTGTTTTAAACGCAGAAAACAGAAACCTTCAGTGCAGGAATCCATAAAAACAACTCCGTTAAGCTAAACACCCAGAGTTAAGAAGAGGGAGGAAAAGAAACACATGCCATTGCAATGTAACACAGGAACATGCACCGAAGACCAAGAGTTACACACCAAAGTGCACTGGTTAACCCATTCCCTGCTCATCCAAAACGTGTTTTTAACAAGTTTTAGCAAGATTAGATTTGAAAACTTGCATCTCTCTCTGAAGAACGTACATGTATGTATAAGGAAGCGAGGAGTAAGATGTGTTTGTCTTTTGGGGGAATTATATTCATAAAGACAACGCTGAATAGAAATAAGTATCTTCCAAGGCTGTTGCAACAACAACAGCCCTTCTAAACTGATACCACTTCCCTGCACTACTACTACACAAATCACTGGTGTGGATCCTGCACAGATATCCCTCTGGCACAGCTCACATACCACAACTGTCCTACGGTCAGTGTGGAGATAAGGTGTCCCTGCCTAATGCAGCACAGGTATTGCACTGAGAATAATTTCTGTGCAGTTCTTCTATGGAAGAGTCACTTCCCCTGGCCAACACGCTGTGCCCATGTTTTTATACTCTGTAGTTACAGAGTCCCAGCTTGCATTTTAAATGAATATAAAGTATATATGTATATCATCCATAACATGATACTAATGTGCTACCGCCCAAACACAGACTCTGCTTTCTTCACGTGTATTCGCCCATCCATTCCATGGAGAAAAATTAAGTATCCTAAATTAATTTAAAGCTTATCTTGCAGAGAATAAATACTTTCTCTTCAGACTTCTGCTTCCTTTGATATTCGAGTTTAGTGCAAGTCTTCAAAAGCTCCCTGGCTAAAAACTTATGCCACCTAGCAAGACTTTTTCTTTAAGAAATCACCGCAAAAGTAAAAACAGATGTTGCAACAGCAGCATCAGTTACCTGCAGAACTGACCGAAAGCTGCAGAACTCGTCAAAGAAAAGCAGAATAAATGCAGGTCCCGGGGCTGTGCCGCAGCAGAGAAGAAGGGAGTTTAGGAGCATAATTCACACATTGCTTTTTGCAAAGTTTGACAATCCAAACTACCGAGGTTTAGTAATGCTACTAAGAGCGTAATTCAGGCAGTGTTAAGCTGTGGCAGTGAAACAAAACTACCAACTACTCACGGGCCTAGATGAACGCTGTATCTTTGGAGGCGGTGGCCGAGGCGGACGGAGTCTTTGCTGCTGTATCAAAGTGGAAACTAAATTAAATAGTCACTTACATGAAAACAGCTCTGATTTTGTGGCAAAAGCAGTATGAGTGGATGACAATGTGATTTACCTTAACTCCATACTCACCTCACACAAGGAAATTTATTTTTGTTTCCAAAACTGTGACAAATCTCATGACCTACAGAGTGCCACAAGAGGAAAGGCAGCCACGCCTGCCTGCTGACGTAGGCTCACACAGGTTGTGCTAAACCAAAGGTAGCACGATCAGCACTCCAGACCAGATCATCCAAAAGTTACTGAGACAACACAGATGCTCACCGTAGATTCTTGGACCTCTGGGTCCAAGTGTTCTACACAACATTTATGCAAATGGAAAGAATCCTGCAAAGCAGGATATTCAAAAAAGCTTTCACTAAAATCTCAAGAGCGATTTCAGTGCTTGTGAAAACTTCTGGGAGAGGCCTCAAACCAGCACACACATTGAAGAGCATGGGAAAAAACCCTAAGTCAATTAAACTTTTCACTGACTTA